TTACAAGAAGTAATTCAGAATGTAGAGGCAAACCAGGGGGAGTTGGCAGTGAAGGAATCCAGTAGAGATATACAACTGTTCTCATTTGGAAACCAGGCACCTCTTCCTCAGGAAGAACAAAACCCTCTAACTAAAGAAATAAAAGAATTGAAACAAAAAATAATTGAGCATCTAGAACAGCACAAAAACAACAGAATAAGGTGCCTGATGAAGCTTGTTCCAAAGGAAACAGCTAGCCAAGCATTAAATAGATGCAAATACTGTTACAATAGCAGTATAAGCACCAATTCATTGCAGAAAAAACAAAACAATAATGTACAGCACCAGCTGCAGTTATAACAGAATACCTGGGATGTAAAACCAAACAAAGAAGAAAAACAAACAAACAGTGCACCACAAAAATGGAAGGTTAGACTAGAAATAAGATCAGCAAGTTAAGATCACATGCAAGCAAGCTAGAACAGATGAAAGAAAAGAAGCTGAAGAACAAGAAGACCAAAGAATACCTAATCAAGAAATATCACTTAGAAACAAGGAAGATCAAGGAAGCACTGGAAATAATAAAGCAACAAATAACAGCTATAGCCAGGAAAAATCAGTAGATATGAAGCTCGAATTGCAAACTATAGGCAGAACCTCCAATTTCAATCCAATCAGAAATGTTTCTACCAATCCATCAATGGAGAAACTGCAAGGAATCAGTCAGTACCTGACAAGGAAGAAACAGTGCAGTTCTGAAGCAGATATGGGATAACCCAAAGAAATACAACAAGGATGCGGCTTGGTTAAAAGAGGTGGATGCAAATAAACAGAAGTTGAAATGAAAGAACTAGTAATAACAACAAAAATGGTAGAAAAAAGAGCAAGGAAAATCAAAAATTGGTCAGCACCAGGTGAAGATGAACTGCATGGGGTTTGGTTGAAGCATCTAACTGTTATACACCCACTCATTGCCAAGCAGTTCAACAATATACTACAAGGAGGAGAAATTGAAAAGTGGCTCACATGGGAAAACCTACATAATAATGAAAAAATTCCAGCAAAAGGGGTAAAACCAGGTAACTACAGGCAATTACCGCTACCAAAACTTTCAAATTTACTAACTGTGTGGTAGCTGATGCAAGTACACAGCAATATAGTGAAAACAATCTCTTTCCCACTCTGAGCAGAAGGAAACCGCCCAATAGCAGAGGAACAAAAGCTCAACTCCTAATAGACAAAATGATCTTGGAAAACTGCAACGAGAAGGAAAAAGGACCCAACCTGAACTGCGGCATGGATTGATACAAAAAGGCATTTGACTCTCGCCACATGATTGGGATAATCCAAGTGCCTAGAAATAACAGGAGTAAGTAGAAACATCAGAAAATTTGTGCAAAAATAGATGGCACAATGGAAGACACAGTTGCAGATCAATGGTGAAAAGCTGGGAGAGGTTAATATCAAGAGAGGAATATTTCAAGGAGATTCATTATCACCATTACTATTTGTTATTGCACTGTTTCCTCTGTCAACAATACTGAATTACTCAGGACATGGTTATCAAACATCAAAAACATCTGCTAGACTATCCCATCTCCTTTACATGGATGATCTGAAGCTGTATGGAAAAACGCCATCTGAAATAGAATCGCTGCTCAACACTGTCCGTATATATAGCCAAGATATTGTAATGGAGTTTGGCTTGGACAACTGTGCCACACTTACTACAACAGGAAAAAAATAGTGAAAAATGAAGGAACAAGATGCACCACGAAACATAACATATAAGAGTCTGGATGAGGAAGAATCTACAAATACTTGGGTATCCTTCAAGCTGACAACATCAACCACACTGAAGTCAAGAAAAAGATTAGAGGTGAATACATCAAGAGAGTGAAGAAGATCTTAAAGTCCAAACTCAATGGAGGAAATACCATAAAGGCAATCAACACCTGGGCAATCCAGTCATTAGGTACACAGCTGGAATAGTGGACTGGACTCAAGCAGAACTAAAAGCAATGGATAGGCAGACCAGAAAAATAATGACAATGAATCACGACCTTCATCCACGCAGTGACATTGATAGACTTTATCTACCAAGGCAAATAGGTGGGCGTGGAATGCTACAAGTACATCAGATGGTTGAAGAAGAAAAAATGGCTTTGGAAGAATATCTGAAGAACAATGATGAAGACTGAAATTAGTATATCAGGAAGGCTTACTGACTACTGGAGAGACCAAACTGGCCTACAAGAAAGACCAAATGAAAAACAGAATAGAGGCATGGGAAGACAAAGCACTACATGGCCAATACATGAAAAAAAATAGCTGGGAAAGCAGATAATAATAAAACCTGGCAATGGCTAAGAGCAGGAAAATTGAAGAAGAGACCGAGGGACTAATTCTGGCTGCACAAGACCAAGCTTTAAGGACAAATGCATACAAAGTCAAAATTGAGAAGACAGCAACAGACAGTAAGTGCCGCCTATGCAAAGAAGCTGAAGAAACAGTGGACCACCTGGTAAGCTGTTGCAGAAGATTGCACAGATTACAAGCAGCGGCATGACAAAGTAGCAACAATGGTGCATTGGAAGATCTGCAAAAAATATCATTTGCCTGTAAGCAAAAACTGGTGGGATCATAAATAGAGAAAGTCATAGAAAATGATAAAATTAAACTGCTCTGGGACTTCAGAATTCAAACAGACAAGCACCTGCAACATAACACCCCAGACTTAACAATTGTCGATAAGAAAGACAAAAAAGTCTGGATAGTGGACGTGGCAGTGCCTGGAGATAGCAGAATAGAAGAAAAAGAACTGGAGAAGATAACAAAATACAAAGACCTACACATAGAAATAGAAAGACTGTGGCAAAAGCAAGCAAGGGTAGCACCAATAGTAATAGACTCCTTGGGCTCAATCCCAAAACAACTGGAGCACCACTTGAACACCATTGGCATTGACAAATTCGCTATTAGTCAATTGCAAAAGGCGGCCTTACTAGGAACTGCTTCCCTCCTGCGACGATACCTGTAATACCATCAAACATCCACATCTGCCTATCCCAGGTCCTGGGTAAGGACTCGATAGGTAGACAAAATGCCAAATCCAGTCTGAACATCTGGCTGACTGTGCGATGAGCCATAATACTAATAATAATAATAAATATGTCTGAAGCTGTATGGAAAAACATCACTGAAATAGAATCGCTGCCAACCTGTCCGTACTATCTAGCCAGATATTGTAATGGAGTTTTGGCTTGGGACAAATGTGCCACACTTACTATCAAACAAGGAAAAGTAGTGAAAACTGAAGGAATCAAGATGCCCCACGAAAATAACATTAAGAGTCTGGATGAGGAAGATTACTACAAATACTTGGGTAATCCTTCAAGCTGACAACATCAAGCACACTGAAGTCAAGAAAATGATTAGAGGTGAATACATCAAGAGAGTGAAGAAGATCTTAAAGTCCAAACTCAATGGAGGAATACCATAAGGGCAATCAACACCTGGGCAATCCCAGTCATTAGGTACACAGCTGGAATAGTGGACTGGACTCAAGCAGAACTAAAAGCAATGGATAGGCAGACCAGAAAAAATAATGACAATGAATCATGCCCTTCATCCACGCAGTGACATTGATAGACTTTATCTACCAAGGCAAATAGGTGGGCTTGGAATGCTACAAGTACATCAGATGGTTGAAGAAGAAAAAATGGCTTTGGAAGAATATCTGAAGAACAATGATGAGGATGCACTGAAATTAGTATATCAGGAAGGCTTACTAACTACTGGAGAGACAAAACTGGCCTACAAGAAAGACCAAATGAAGAACAGAATAGAGGCATGGGAGACAAAGCACTACACTGGCCAATACATGAAAAAAATAGCTGGGAAAGCAGATAATAATAAACCTGGCAATGGCTAAGAGCAGGAAAATTGAAGAAAGAGACCGAGGGACTAATTCTGGCTGCACAAGACCAAGCCTTAAGGACAAATGCATACAAAGTCAAAATTGAGAAGACAGCAACAGACAGTAAGTGCCGCCTATGCAAAGGAGCTGAAGAAACAGTGGACCACTTGGTAAGCTGTTGCAAGAAGATTGCACAAACTGATTACAAGCAGCAGAATGACAAAGTAGCAACAATGGTGCATTGGAAGATCTGCAAAAAATATCATTTGCCTGTAAGCAAAAACTGGTGGGATCATAAAATATAGAAAGTCATAGAAAATGATAAAATTAAACTGCTCTGGGACTTCAGAATTCAAACAGACAAGCACCTGCAACATAACACCCCGACTTAACAATTGTCGATAAGAAAGACAAAAAAGTCTGGATAGTGGACGTGGCAGTGCCTGGAGACAGCAGAATAGACAAGAAAGAACTGAGAAGATAACAAAATACAAAGACCTACAAATAGAAATAGAAAGACTGTGGCAAAAGCAAGCAAGGGTAGTACCAATAGTCATAGGCTCCTTGGGCGCAATCCCAAAACAACTGGAGCACCACTTGAACACCATCGGCATTGAGAAATTCTCCATTAGTCAATTGCAAAAGGAACTGCTTTTGCAGGAACTGCTTCCATCCTGCAACGATATCTGTAATACCATCAAACATCCACATCTGCCTATCCCAGGTCCTGGGTAAGGACTCGATAGGTCACGGGTCGGCAACCCGCGGCTCCGGAGCCGCATGCGGCTCTTTGAGCCACCTCCTGCGGCTCCGGAGCCTTCTCCGCCATTTTCATAGAGAGAGAGACAGACAGAGACAGAGAGGCACTTGTGCTTCCCTTCTCTCTATCTCTCTCTCACACACATGCAGATTTGCCCCTTGCTCCCGATTGGCCCTGCAGCCGGATGCCCTGCCCCCTGGTGGCCAGGAAGGGCCTTTCCGGGGCTGGCCCAGTCCGAGGTGCATGTGGCCAGAGAGCCGCGCGGGGAAGCCCCCGGATCGATGCTGGGAGCGGCCCAGCAGAGCCTCCGTTGAAAGGGCCAGCCCTCCCGCAAGCTGCGGCCCTAGTGGGCCAAGCAGGAGCAGACCCGGAGATGGCGGGTGAGTGGGGAGGAGGGAGGGGGCTTACCTGCACCAGGCGGAGGGGCAGCCGAGCCGGCCTCGTGTCTCCCCGGGCTGGGCAGCAGGCCTGGCGGGGCCAGCGGCCGGCAGGGGCATTGGTTCCTGCCCTTCCCCGGGCCAGGCGGTAGGCCCAGCGGGGGCAGCAGCCGGCGGGGGCATCGGTTCCTGCCCCTCCCCGGGCCGCTGAGCTGGCCTCGTGTCTCCCCGGGCGGCAGACGGCGGGGATATTGGTTTCTGGCCGTCCCCGGGGCGCTGAGCCTGCCTCGCGCCTCCCCGGGCTGGGCGGCAGTGGCGGCTGGCAGGGGCATTGGTTTTTGGCTGTCCCCGGGGCGCTGAGCCAGCCTCGCATCTTCCCGGGCCGTGCGGCAGGCGGCGGGGGCATTGGTTTGTAGCCGTCCCCGGGCTGCTGAGCCGGCCTCGTGTCTCCCCGGGCGGCAGATGGCGGGGATATTGGTTTCTGGCTGTCCCCGGGGCGCTGAGCCTGCCTCGCGCCTCCCCGGGCTGGGCGGCAGTGGCAGCCGGCAGGGGCATTGGTTTTTGGCCGTCCCCAGGGCGCTGAGCCAGCCTCGCATCTTCCCCGGCCATGCGGCAGGCGGCGGGGGCATTGGTTTGTAGCCATCCCCAGGCCGCTGAGCAAGCCTCGCATCTTCCCGGGCTGGGCGGCAGTGGCGGCCGGCAGGGGCATTGGGTTTTGGCCGTCCCCGGGCCACTGAGCCAGCCTTGCATCTTCCCGGGCCGTGCGGCAGGCGGCGGGGGCATTGGTTTGTAGCCGTCCCCGGGCCGCTGAGCCAGCCTTGTTTTTTCCCGGGCCAGGCAGCAAGTGGCGGGGACATTTGTTTGTAGCCGTCCCCGGGGCGCTGAGCCTGCCTCGCGCCTCCCCGGGCTGGGCGGCAGTGGCAGCCGGCAGGGGCATTGGTTTTTGGCCGTCCCCAGGGCGCTGAGCCAGCCTCGCATCTTCCCCGGCCGTGCGGCAGGCGGCGGGGGCATTGGTTTGTAGCCATCCACAGGCCGCTGAGCAAGCCTCGCATCTTCCCGGTCTGGGCGGCAGTGGCGGCCGGCAGGGGCATTGGGTTTTGGCCGTCCCCGGGCCACTGAGCCAGCCTTGCATCTTCCCGGGCCGTGCGGCAGGCAGCGGGGACATTGGTTTGTAGCCGTCCCCGGGCCGCTGAGCCAGCCTTGTTTTTTCCCGGGCCAGGCAGCAAGTGGCGGGGACATTTGTTTGTAGACGTCCCCGGGGCGCTGAGCCTGCCTCGCGTCTCCCCGGGCTGGGCGGCAGTGGCGGCCGGCAGGGGCATTGGATGTTGGCCGTCCCCGGGGCGCTGAGCCTGCCTCGCGTCTCCCCGGGCTGGGCGGCAGTGCGGCCGACAGGGGCATTGGGTTTTGGCCGTCCCCGGGGCGCTGAGCCTGCCTTGTGTTTCCCCAGGCCAGGCAGCAAGCCCGGCGGGCAGTGGGGGCATCGGTTCCTGCTCGTCCCCGGGCCGCTGAGCCGGTCAAATCAACGGACGTGGAGGTACTGCAGCTGGCTTTTTGATTCGCCGCAGACCTCCATTGACTTCCATGGGGATTCTTGGCAATGACTGGGGCTGATTGAAATCGCTTCAAGAAGCAAGCTGCAGAGACACAGAGAGCTGCAAATGATCTCCACAGGAGATGCAGCAAGGGCAGGAGACGAGAAAGAGTCCGCTATGTCTGTGCACAAGCCCCAAAAGCTTTCTTCCTCTCCCTGCCTTTCTTGCTGGCCCTCTGATGTAAGCATCTGCTGGGTTTCCTCAACCTCCCCCCCCCGTTTTATTTTAATCCCACCATCGCCTCCCTCTTTCGCAAAGTTGACATTCCTAGGACTCGTAGCTCGCTTCGCTCCTGGAGTCACTTGGCAAAGTTTAAAGGAGAGGCTGCCTGCTCCCACCTCCCACGGAGCAGAACTGCTGCTTCCTCACCTCCCAGCGAAAGAACCCCAGAGAGCTGGAAGGCGTCCTTTCTCCCACTTTCCGCTTCCCATCCTCCCTTTTCCAAGCACCCCTCCCAGAGCAAACCAGAAGCCTCAACTCCAGCCTCCTGCAGCAGGCTGAGATAGGCGAGCCCGAGCGACCGTCTTCTGCTGCCTCAGAACATTCACTGCAGCAGCTCTTTCTCCCCGTCGGCTTCCTCCTCCGCTCCCTTGGAACCTTCGTGCCAAAAGGCAGCAAGAAGAAAGTCCCAGAGAGGGAGAGCGCGGGGTGAGGGGAGAGCAGTCTGTTCCGAAGGGAAGAGAAGCCAGGACTGCAGAGCCGTTCATACCAGAGCTGGATGGGGGGCAGGGCAGGCGCACGTTTCGCCTTAAGCTCCTCTCTTCAATCAAGCCCTGTGTTCTGTGCGCGTGCGTGTGCGCGCGCACATTTTGCGGCTCCCAGGATTTTTTTTTTGTGAGGGAAATGGATCCAAGTGGCTCTTTCACTGTTGCAGGTTGCTGACCCCTGCGATAGGTAGACAAAATGCCAAATCCAGGCTGAACATCTGGCTGACTGTGCGATGAATGATAATAATAATAATAATAGTAAATTTGGAAGGGACCTTGGAAGTCATCTAATCCAACCCCCTGCTCGGGCAGGAAACCCTACACCATTTCGGACAAATGGCTGTCCAGTCTCTTCTTAAAAACTTCCAGTGTTGGAGCATTTACTGCTTCTGGAGGCAGGCTGTTCCACTGATTAATTGTTCTTACTGTCAGGAAGTTTCTCCTTAGTTCTAGGTTGCTTCTCTCCTTGATTAGTTTCCATCCGTTGCTTCTTGTCCTGCCTTCAGGTGCTTTGGAAAATAGCTTAATAGCTTAAAGGAAAAGGGGGAAAAAATGGCAGACTGCGTTGTTTGGCGATCCCCGTGAAATGGTCGTTCGACCCCAAATGGGGTCCTGACCCACAGGTTGAGAACCACTGCTATAGATGGTCCCCCAGTGCCTCCTGTCCTGTGGCCACCCCCCTCCCCCCATTGTAAGTGCGGCACCCCACCTCCCATCATTGGCTCCTGTACGAATCGTGTTGGGGATTTCTCCCCTTTGCCGGTCGTGATTCTTTGCTGTTGCATGAAACAGCGGTTCTGGTCTTGCGTAGGCTGCTCCCGTTGCACTCGTTGTGAGTTGTTACGCTGTTGTTCCCACTTCCTTAGTGCCTGATATAATTCTATGTGGCGATTAATTGAGTGTTCATCCGACAGCCAAGCCTGCTCCAGTAACCGGCTGCCCTTCGTGACATCCTGGGCGATGGCCTCTGCCCCGGCAAAGTTGAACGTGTGATTGTTGCTGGCCATATGGACCCACACTTCTGAGCCAATGATGGGAGGTGGGGTGCCACGCTCACAATGGGAGTGGGGTGGCCACAGGACAGGAGGCACTGGGGGACCATCTATAGCAGTGGTTCTCAACCTGTGGGTCAGGACCCCATTTGGGGTCGAACGACCATTTCACGGGGATCGCCAAACAACGCAGTCTGCCATTTTTTCCCCCTTTTCCTTAGCTGTGCTACTCCCTTTTATTCTATTGGCTTTTGAAAGCCAATAAATAGACTCTCTTGAATAGAGTCTAATTCTATTGGCTTTCAAAAGCCAATAGGAATTGTCCAGGCTGTCTCTGCCCTGCTGAGCCTGCCAAAAGTCCCATTCTGCAAACAGTGCTGCACCAGTTGAGTAGTCCTCGACTTACGACCGGTTGGGGGTCGTGGCATTAAAAAGGTTGAGAACCACTGATCTATAGCAACGTGTATCCAGATACATCCAAAGCAGGCAAAGAGAGCGATGACAAGAGAGGCGATGATCCCTGAGCTTACAAGCATACAAACGGATGCGAGTCTATTAGAAGAAATATGGTCAACTGGGGCGGGTAAACAGTAATGCGTTCTATGAGCAGAGCGCACAAACTGCTGGTCTTATAAGCAGGCTTTCGAACCTACAGCATTCCACTCTGACAACTTTAGCAGTTAGCCAACAAAAGCTAAGTTTATCAAACAGTTGTTAGTTTATTAAACAGTTGTTTTTATATATATATATTTATCCCGGTGTTCGACTACTTTTCTCAACATGAATATACCCAGGATTCGCATTTTTAGTATAATTAGAGACAATATATGTATGTATGTATGCATCTATGTATATATGTATGTATGTATGTTATATATAGTATGTTTAAAAGTGTGTTATGTATGTGTACACTTTGAGAGCAAGCAACTAAATTTCATTTTTAATGTGTGCAATTGTGCCCACAGTAAAAAAATATAATAAAGGTTGTCTGTCTGTCTGTCTGTCTGTCTGTCTGTCTGTCTGTCTATCTATCTATCTATCTATCTATCTATCTATCTATCTATCTATCTATTCCTTATTATAGGTAGTCCTCAACTTATGACCAGTCATTTAGCAACTGTTTGAAATTATTATTAAGCTCTCAAGGGCTACAAATTCCAAGTTACCACAGATGTTCCCCCCCACCCCTCCCCCAGAGGTCTTGTGATCACATTTGGGGTACTCAGCAACTGGCCTGTATTTGTATATGTTTGCAGCATTCTGAGGTCACATGACTATGATTTACAACATTTTTGCTGGGAACATTTTGCTTCTAATTTCTGACAAAAAAACACTTATTGGGGAAAATTGATTCACTTTACGACCACGTTTGCTTTATGACCATTGCATTCACTTAATGAGCACTGTAAAAATTTTTGTAAGATCAGGTTGGTCATTTGATGCCTCGGCTTATGACCATCATGACTTACATTCCAGTCTTTGTTACGGTCATAAATCAAGGACTAGCTGTATTTCCCATGCACATTGGTGTTTAATTAACTGTGGGCAGTGTTTGTTAGATCATGATCTTTTTTCCCCCTTAGTATATAAGGCAACCGTAAAGACAGATGATTGTAAGTTGCTGTTGGCACCCTCTCAGCATGGGAAACGCCCGTGCCCGCCTGATTGGATTGGACACCAGAAGAAATGTTTCTACTTCTCAAATGAAGAAAAAAACTGGACTGCTAGTCAAGAATTTTGCTCTTCGTACAATGCCTCTCTGGCCATTATTGAAAACGAAGAACTGGTAAGAAGTGAAAATATCCTGCTATATTGTGGATGGTACCAATTTCATGTAGGGTCCACATACATCAGTTCTGCTTGCAGGGAATTGTTTTTATAACAATATGATGATTTCATTTTGTGCTGGTCTGTAACCGCAGTGAAGAGTGAAAAAAAGTTTGAATTGATTTTCATTAAGGAAGACCATCTGTTGCTTTCTAATGTATGGCCAGTGTCTTTAGCCTATGTCAGGGGTAGGCAACCTTGGCTCTTTTATGACTTGTGGACCAACTCCCAGAATTCCTGAGCCAGCCATGCTGAGGGGAAAGGGAGAGGTTTCCAAGCTGAGCCATGCTGGCTCAGGAATTCTGGGAGTTGAAGTCCACGAGTCATAAAAGAGCCAACGTTGCCTACCCCTGGCCTATGTCTACTATAGGTAGATCTTGTATAATAATTGCCCTGTTTAGGGACCATTCAAAGTTACTTTTTTCCAGATTTCATCTTTCCAGCTTTTTTCTTCTTTAGCTTCTTCACTTTTTTTTGTTCTGTGTTCTGGAACTGAGTCCAAGTAAACACACCAGCCTTTCCCTTTTGAAATAGCTGTGCCCCTTTTAAAGGGAACAGCTCCCTTTTCTCCTGCATGGGACCCTTTTTAACCCTTCAACGAAAGGTAAGGGAGAGGAAACAGCACCGTTGTTTTGCCTTCATGCATCATTGAAATCATTGATATTAGGGCTGGTTAGCACTCTGATTTGACTCTAAAAGGGGGCTTTGAGGTCTATGGGGTATCAAAATAGCAGCTCTCTGCAACTATTTAAAATAGCTGCATCTTTTCCTGAGATTCTGGGGCAGGAGCTGGCTTAACATACTGAATTTATGTTCTGATGTGCTTTGGGGAAAATGGAGGCAGGCAGTCTTTGTATCCTTATATGAACTCCTATGTCAGTGGTGGCGAACCTATGGCATGCGTGCCAGAGGTGGCACTCGGAGCCCTCTCTGTGGGCACACATGCCGTTGCCCCAGCCTCGCCTCCCCCCACGACTCCTCACCAGCAGCCTCCCTGGAGGAGAGTCGCCCCCGAGCCTGTCCCACACAGACATGGCAACCAGGCAGCGTAGAAAAGACTCTGCCCTCATGCCCCATCCCGCACAGTTGATGCTGCAGGGCGTGGGGAGAGAGTGTGGCTGCCATGGCGCTGCTGGGCTGCCTGGGCAATCTGTGGCGAGCCCTGGATGTAATGAGTGGCCCTGCGGGTAGGCGGGATGGAGGCGGGGCAAGGGGTGGAGTGGGGGCGGGGCCAGTTTTGGCCCACTCGTTCTCTAAAAGGTTCGCCATCACTGTCCTATGTAATATATAATATACTGGTATAATCAAACAATGTTATAGAATTATTGGCCGATTCTAAATATGTGTGATTTGATTATTGAGGAGATAGGTAAAAGGTTAAAACATGTACACTGGGGGGGGTTCTATAAATATTTCAGAGTGGTTTAATGTTTACCATTTATTCTCTCAAACAGGATTTTGTGCAGCGTTACAAAGGCAGCTCTCCCCACTGGATTGGCTTCAAACGAGAGCCAGGTCAAGACTGGAAATGGATCAATGGAAATGCTTCAACGTGAGTCATCCTTTCTCTCTTATGTCTTCACTTGAGAAGTAGTGAGAGGGGCGGCATATAAATTTCATTCATTAATTAAACTCTATAACAGCCGAATGCTGAAAAAGAAGTGGCATGGGCTTTATGGATTATCCAGTGCAGTCCTGTTTCTTGCATCAGGCACAAATGCACCACGTATTTTCATAAATGCCAACTTTGTGTCTAAAACTAAAGACCTTAAAGAGTGGAAGCAAGCCAATGTGATGTAGTGGTTAAGTTGCTAGACTTGAGAAACCCAGGTTAGGTCTCCTCTCAGCCATAAAAGGTGCCTGGAGATTATGGGTCGGTCCTTTTTTCTCAGCCCTCCCAGAGCTAGTGTGGTCTGGTAGTGATGGTTTCACACTAAGAGAGTGGAGGCCCAGGTTCAAATCCCCTTTGAGCTACAGAAGTTCCCTTGCTGACTTTAGGCCAGATCCTCTCAGCCTTACCTACCTTACATGTTAGAGAGGCACTTGTGAGAGCCAGTTTGGCATAGCAGTTAAGGCAGCAGGCTAAAAACTGGGAACTGTGAGTTCTAGTTATGCCTTGGGCACAAAGCCAGCTGGGTGATCTTGGGACAGTCACTTTCTCACATTCCTATGAAGGAAGAATGGCAAACCACTTCTGAAAAACTTTGCTAAGAGTTATCCAGACCAGTGGTTCTTAACCTTTTTGAATGAATCGCCCCCTTGAGCCAATGAGGAAGTTGTCATCGCCCCCCTCCCCCAACATAACCTCTCAATCACAACATGGGAAATAATTCTTTAATTTATGCAAACACTTTTTTTGTTTTCTTTAAAATTGTTCATCAGGATATATCGATGCAAATAATTTATTTCCAGTCTTTTCCCCATATCTCCCATATTCTGGCTAATGGCGCGCCACTGTATGGATAGAGGCTGCTGCTGCACAACACGCATGAAGATAAGCAATGCGTATTTACATATGTACGGCGTTCTGTACTGAAGCTAGCTGGAGGAACATTTGAAAACACAATTCAATCCACTAATAGCGAGCGATCTGATGTTTTTGTACGACAGATATACAGCCATTCACTGTACAAAAAAGTCTCAAAAGTGTCCCCAAAACTTCTCGCTCCATCGCCCCCATATCGCCCCCTTTTTGTTCCTTTGCCCCGTTGCCTCTTTTTGTTCCATCACCCCCCTGAATAATGAAATCGCCCCCTGGGGGGGCAATATCGCCCAGGTTAAGAACCACTGATCCAGACCATCTCTGAGAATTGGACATGAGGAAAAATAAATGTGTGAGTTCCTAAACAAACAGCTGGGATTTGAGTCTAACAAATAAATATATAAAGAAAAATATAATGCCCCAATATGGCTGCTGTCTGAATTAACTTGGAGTCCTGGGTCAGAATTTGTCCTCAGGAAAAGAATAATCACATCACTAATCACACGTGATTGAAACCAGCCAGGTATAGAAAGTTTAGGGCCTCCAAATGGACTTCAGTTCCCATCAGCTCTGAGCACAGAGTGAGTTATAGCTCAAAGTTGTTGGGAAACACCAGACTGGCTATAGCCAAGTAGACCATTCATATATGAATCCACTACTATCTTCCTATCACCCACTAAAATTTGTTTCTCCCTATTGGTGAATTAGGTTGAAATTTGCTCATCCTTGACTCAGCAGAAAACTATACTGAAATAGACAGTGGGTGATGAAATAATAATAATAATAATAATAATAATAATAATAATAATAATAATAATAATAATAATAGAAGACGAAGAAGAAGAAGAAGAAGAAGAAGAAGAAGAAGAAGAAGAAGAAGAAGAAGAAGAAGAAGAAGAAGAAGAAGAAGAAGAAGAAGAAGAAGTAGTAGTAGTAGTAGTAGTAGTAGTAGTAGTGGGTAGTAGTAATAGTCTGGATAGTGGACGTGGCAGTGCCTGAGACAGCAGAATAGAGGAGAAAGAACTGGAGAAGATAATAAAATACAAAGACCTGCAAATAGAAATAGAAAGACTATGGCAAAAGCAAGCAAGGGTAGTACCAATAGTAATAGGCTCCTTGGGTGCAATCCCAGAACAACTGGAGCACCACTTGAACACCATCGGCATTGACAAATTCTCCATTAGTCAATTGCAAAAGGAACTGCTTTTGCAGGAACTGCTTCCATCCTGCAACGATATCTGTAATACCATCAAACATCCACATCTGCCTATCCCAGGTCCTTGGTAAGGACTCGATAGGTAGACAAAATGCCAAATCCAATCTGAACATCTGGCTGACTGTGCGATGATCGATAATAATAATAATAACAAAGAAATACAACAAGGATGCGGTTTGGTTAAAAGAGGTGGATGCAAATAAAACAGAAGTTGAAATGAAAGAACTAGTAATAACAACAAAAATGGTAGAAAAAAGAGCAAAGAAAATCAAAAATTGGTCAGCACCAGGTGAAGATGAACTGCATGGGTTTTGGTTGAAACATCTAACTGTTATACACCCACTCATTGCCAAGCAGTTCAACAATATACTACAAGGAGGAGAAATTGAAAAGTGGCTAACAACTGGGAAAACCTACCTAATAATGAAAAATCCAGCAAAAGGGGCAACACCAGGTAACTACAGGCCAATTACCTGCTTACCAACAACTTTCAAATTACTAACTGGTGTAGTAGCTGATGCAGTACAACAGCATCTAGTTGAAAACAATCTCTTTCCACCTGAGCAGAAAGGAAACCGCCCCAATAGCAGAGGAACAAAAGATCAACTCCTAATAGACAAAATGATCTTGGAAAACTGCAAGAGAAGGAAGACCAACCTGAATGTGGCATGGATTGACTACAAAAAGGCATTTGACTCTCTGCCACATGATTGGATAATAAAGTGCCTAGAAATAACAGGAGTCAGTAGAAACATCAGAAAATTTGTGCAAAGATCGATGGCACAATGGAAGACACAGTTGCAGATCAATTGTGAGAGGCTGGAGAGGTTAATATCAAGAGAGGAATATTTCAAAGAGATTCATTATCACTATTACTATTTGTTATTGCACTGTTTCCTCTGTCAACAATACTGAATAACTCAGGACATGGCTATCAAACATCAAAAACATCTGCCAGACTATCCCATCTCCTTTATATGGATGACCTGAAGCTGTATGGAAAAACATCATCTGAAATAGAATCGCTGCTCAACACTGTCCGTATATATAGCCAAGATATTGTAATGGAGTTTGGCTTGGACAAATGTGCCACACTTACTATCAAACAAGGAAAAATAGTGAAAACTGAAGGAATCAAGATGCCCCACGAAAATAACATTAAGAGTCTGGATGAGGAAGAGTACTACAAATACTTGGGTATCCTTCAAGCTGACAACATCAAGCACACTGAAGTCAAGAAAAAGATTAGAGGTGAATACATCAAGAGAGTGAAGAAGATCTTAAAATCCAAACTCAATGGAGGAAATACCATAAAGGCAATCAACACCTGGGCAATCCCAGTCATTAGGTACACAGCTGGAATAGTGGACTGGACTCAAGCAGAACTAAAAGCAATGGATAGGCAGACCAGAAAAATAATGACAATGAATCATGCCCTTCATCCACGCAGTGACATTGATAGACTTTATCTACCAAGGCAAATAGGTGGGCGTGGAATGCTACAAGTACATCAGATGGTTGAAGAAGAAAAAATGGCTTTGGAAGAATATCTGAAGAACAATGATGAAGATGCACTGAAATTAGTATATCAGGAAGGCTTACTAACTACTGGAGAGACCAAACTGGCCTACAAGAAAGACCAAATGAAGAACAGAATAGAGGCATGGGAAGACAAAGCACTACATGGCCAATACATGAAAAAAATAGCTGGGAAAGCAGATAATAATAAAACCTGGCAATGGCTAAGAGCAGGAAAATTGAAGAAAGAGACCGAGGGACTAATTCTGGCTGCACAAGACCAAGCCTTAAGGACAAATGCATACAAAGTCAAAATTGAGAAGACAGCAACAGACAGTAAGTGCCGCCTATGCAAAGAAGCTGAAGAAACAGTGGACCACTTGGTAAGCTGTTGCAAGAAGATTGCACAAACTGATTACAAGCAGCGGCATGACAAAGTAGCAACAATGGTGCATTGGAAGATCTGCAAAAAATATCATTTGCCTGTAAGCAAAAACTGGTGGGATCATAAAATAGAGAAAGTCATAGAAAATGATAAAATTAAACTGCTCTGGGACTTCAGAATTCAAACAGACAAGCACCTGCAACATAACACCCCAGACTTAACAATTGTCGATAAGAAAGACAAAAAAGTCTGGATAGTGGATGTGGCAGTGCCTGGAGATAGCAGAATAGAAGAGAAAGAACTGGAGAAGATAACAAAATACAAAGACCTACAAATAGAAATAGAAAGACTGTGGCAAAAGCAAGCAAGGGTAGTACCAATAGTCATAGGCTCCTTGGGTGCAATCCCAAAACAACTGGAGCACCACTTGAACACCATTGGCATTGACAAATTCGCTATTAGTCAATTGCAAAAGGCAGCCTTATTAGGAACTGCTTCCATCCTGCGACGATATCTGTAATACCATCAAACATCCACATCTGCCTATCCCAGGTCCTGGGTAAGGACTTGATAGGTAGACAAAATGCCAAATCCAGTCTGAACATCTGGCTGACTGTGCGATGATCGATAATAATAATAATAGTAATAATAGAGTTAGATGGGACCTTGAGGATCATCTAGTCTAACCCCCTGCTCAGGCAGGAAACCCTATACCATTTCAGACAAATGGCTGTCCAGTCTCTTCTTAAAAAGTAAAAAGTAGATTCACACACCTTGTGATTGCCCTCGGAGGTTGTTGGAATAAAAAAGCAAATTGGAACACCAAATTAAATTAGCTAAGGGTGACTTAAACTTCTCTTACTCACAGGAAAACAATGCTATGGGGACATGGCAGAAAAGAGATGTTACTAGGGCAAGATGATGATATGGTTAGATGCAGTGGGGACACAGCTCTTCATCCTTGTTGCCCTTGTGTTGCAGGTGGACAGTCCTCGGTGATGGAGGGAACTGTGCCTTTCTGAATGACGAAGGCAAAGCAAGCAGTTCCATGTGCCGTACAGCCCATCACTGGATATGCAGCAAACCTGATGAATTCACAAGTCCAAAGATAGCTTGAAGGCATATGGTTTCCAATGTACTCAGCTGAATCATTGACTGTAGTAACAAGTGGGTCTTATACCCAGAGAAGGATAAGTTATTTCTGCCTTTGCATAATGTAATCAATTGCTGATTTTCTCAGGATTTTCTTCTGCATGATATACCGTACTTTCCGGCATATAAGACGACTTTCGAAAGTGTTGAAATCGGCGCTGAAGTTGGGGGTCGTCTTATACGCCGGGTCGCCTTATACGCCGGAAAATACGGTAGTCTGTGTTTCTGCTGCTGTACTTTACATTATTATAACTCTATACTGTTTGCATTTCTGCATTGTTTACACTCTAGAGCAGGAGTGTCAAACTCAATTTCATTGAGGGCTGCATCAGCATTGTGGTTATCCTCAGGGGACCTGGTGGGTGTGGCCAGGATGGGTGCAGCCTACCGGGTGGGCGTAGATGGAGTGGGTGTGGTCTACAGGGTGAGCGTGGCCAGCTCTACATCATTCACATCAAGAGTGCATGCATCCAGCGAGTGGGGCAGATGCGGCAGGTGCTGGTTCCTCGCTGTTTCCAGAAAGCCTTGTAGAGCTAAGACTGAATGTGTTTCAGCATAGATGGCCACCACAAAATTGTACATTGGCTCCCAGCCAGTCTGGGCCAGGGTCAAGGCAGTGGGGGCCATTCCCTCACTGTTTCCAGGATGGCTTCGCGGGCCACATGAAACCACTTCGCAGGCTGCATCCGGCCCCCAGGCCTTGTGTTTGACATGTCTGTTCTAGAGCATATAAATCTTTTTTTATTTATTTATTTTAAAAAGTTTTTTATTTATAATACAGTTAAAATAAAGATGGACATAACATAACATTCCAGAGTAAATATTCATAACAATTTGTTCCTCTTCATACTTATAATTCTTAATCTCTCTATATCAGTGGTTCTCAACCTGTGGGTCGGGACCCCATTTGGGGTCGAACGACCATTTCACGGGGGTCGCCAAACAAGGCTGTCCGCCATTTTTTTCCCCCTTTTCTTTGGCCACGCCCCTGGCACCCGGTGATGTATAAGTGGTTGGGGGTCACGACAATATGGGGAACTGTATTATGGGGTCGCGGCATTAGAAAGGTTGAGAACCACTGCTCTATATACATATTTTTCTATATAATAGTCTCTAATTTGTTACTCTATATACTAACATACAATTATATATATTTCTATCTTAACACTAGCTTAAAATCCTAACAGTTCTTGATTCACATTAGAATAAAATTTGTCCCAGATTTCAAAGTAGTCTGACTCTGTCTTGTCCTTCATTTCCATTGTGAGCCTATCCATATCAGTACACAATAAAATTTTATATAAAATCTCTTCTGTTGGAATTTTCTTATTCCTCCAGTTTTGTGCATACGCCAATCTAGCAGCCGTGAGAATGTATAACATCTAGTAAAATATCCCTTTGTTGTATTTCTGCGTGATTATGCCTAGTAAGAAGAGTTCTGGTTTTAACTCTACCTCTATCATTAGTATTTCTTCCAGCCATTTTTTTATCTTGTTCCAAAAATCACAGGCTTTTGAGCACTCCCACCACATATGGTAATATGTCCCTATTGCCAATTTACATTTCCAGCACGTGGAATAAATATTTGGACCCATTTTAGCTAATCTTGTGGGTGGGAGATGCCATCTGTAGAACATTTTGTAGAGATTTTCTTTGTAGGAGGTTGCTAGAGTAAGCTTCCTATTTCTTACCCATAATTCTTGCCAGATGTGCAGATCAAAGTTGAGATCAAAATCCCTGCTCCACGTTAACATGGTTTCTTTTACCTGTTCCTGATACATTGCCTGATCTAACAAATAATGATATAGCTTTTTAATCATTTTATCCTCAGTATTTAGTAGTATTTTATCCAGCCCTATCGGCTCTATTTTTATGCCTAACTCTTTTTTATCTTTCCAATATCTCGCCTGTAATTGAAGGTATGCCCACCATTCTAGTTCTATCCCTATCGGCTCTATTTTTATGCCTAACTTTTTTTTATCTTTCCAATATCTCGCCTGTAATTGAAGGTATGCCCACCATTCTAGTTCTATCCCTTCGTCTTGAAGAATTTTCCTGGGTTTCAATTCCCCTTTCTCGTCTAGAACATTTTTATATGTTATAATCTTCCCTAATTGAATAAACTTTGGATGTACATGCATTTCTAATGATGAGATCCAGCCGGGAACTTGAGTATAATTTGGTTGCCAGGTTTTAACCCATACATCAATTAGAGCTCGTCTGATATAATGCCTTCAAAAATATTTGTGTGTCTTATATTTCTGATCCCATAGCATAGCATGCCATCCTATTTGTAAGTCATGACCTTCCAGACATAATAATCTCCTATTCTTCAATAGTATCCAGTCCCTCACCCATAATAATACTATGGCCTGTTAATATTTGTCCAGGTCAGGGAGGCCAAGTCCCCCCCCCTTTCCTTCGAATCCTGCAGTAATTTTAATTTAATCCTTGCTTTTTTTCCCTTGCCAGATAAATTTGAGTATAATTTTGTTAAAGTTTTGAAAAAAATTCTTATCCAATTTTATGGGTATACATTGGAACAAAAATAAAATTTTCGGTAGCACATTCATTTTCATTACAGCAATTCTGCCCATAAAGGAGAGTTGTAAGTTGGTCCAGGTATCTAAATCAGTTTTAATCTGTTCAATTAGCTTATCATAGTTGTCTCTTTTGAGTGTAACGCATCTAGCAGTTAGTTGTATTCCTAGATATCTTATTTTATTCGTAATTTGAATACCTATTCTGTCAATTCATTTTTCTGTATTTTAGTCATATTCTTGATGAGCATTTTAATTTTTTCTTTAATTATCTTTAGACCTGCTATTTCCCCATATTTACTCAATATTTCCATCAATCTTGTCTCTGATTGTAATGGCTCTTCAATTATAAAAACTAAATTGTCTGCAAAAGCTTGCATTTTAAACGTTTCTTTCTTGATCTCCAAACCTTTGATCTGTTCATCTTTCTGGATTACTCTGATTAATACCTCTAGGGATAGTATAAACAAAAATGGTGATAACGGACAACCTTGCCTTGTACTTTTTTGAATATGAAAGCTATCGGTCATTTCTCTATTAATTATTACTTTTGCTGCCTGTTTAAAATAAACTGATTTAAACATATTTAAATGTTTATAAAATTTTCCCCGAAGTCCATATACAACAATTGATTGAGCATAAAATCCCATTTCACATTGTCAAATGCTTTTTGTGCGTCAAGGAAAATTAAACCCATTTGCTTTTCATTGTGTACCTCATAATACTCCAATATATCCAAAACAATCCTGACACTGTTTCTTATGTATCTTTTAGATAAAAAGCCATTTTGATCAGAATGTATAAAATCTGCTAGGAATCTTTCAAGTCTTTGCACCATTATAGCCATAAAAATCTTATAGTCCGAATTTAATAATGAAATGGGTCTATAGTTCTTAATATGCGCCAGGTCTGAGTTTTCCTTAGGAATCAGGGTGAGGAGAGCTTCTTCCCATGAGGCTGGTATTTTAGCTTTTGTTAAGACCTCATTAAATAGTTCCAACAGTATTGGGCTTAAAGATTCTTGTACGATTTTATACATTTCTACAGGTAGAGCATCTGGCCCTGGTGCTTTGTTATTTTTTTGTTTCTTGATTGCCTCCGAGAGTTCTAAAGGTGTTATCTCTTTGTTCAACAGAGTTTTAAATTCTTCTGGCACTTTCGGTAGGTCAGCTGTTTGTAAATACTGTACAATGTCATCATTATTTCTCCATTCATCATCTTTATATAAGTTCTTATAGAACTCATACACCACTAATTTCTTTCCTTCGTTCTGGTACACCATATCACCTTCTGCATTATAAAGTTTAGTAATCCTCTGTTTGTTATTATGTTTTTTAATTTTATAAGCCAGCCATCTCCCTGGTTTGTTGGCATTTTCAAAAAAAAATTGGTTAGTACGTTTTATCTGCTGTCCTAATTCTTCCTTCCCAATGATATTCATCTTATGTTTAATTAGGTCTATCTGTTGTTTCAAATCACGTCTTTGTGGTTCCTTTTGTAAATTTTTCTCAACTCTACTTAGTTCTTCTTCTAAGTGTCTTTGTCGTTGTATTTTGATTTTGTGTTCCCTGGCCATATAAGAAATTGCAGCACCTCTCATATAAGCTTTGGCTGTATCCCATAAGTTTTGGCAATTCGTATCTTCCTTTTTATTTGTCTTAAAAAACAGGTCCATTTGTTCTTCCAATTTCAATTTAAATTCTTTATGTTTTAGGATTGCTCTTTTCAGGGTCCATCTCCTCGTATGTTTTTGCCCTTTCCATCTAATTCTAATTGGATTATGGTCAGCCCAGGAGTTCGTATCGATTACAATATCCTCTACCTCTAAATTTAAGTCTGCTGACATCCACACCATATCAATTCTGGACCATGATTGATGACGTCCCAAGTAGAATGTAAACTGTTTTTTCCCTAAATTCCTCTCAGGTATTGTTCCTCTAGTTCTTTTTCTAGTCTTTCCACATTTATAGACTAGGTGTCTATCCACAATTACATTATAGTCTCCCATTATAAAAATGTTATCATATTCCAATTGATTAATAATATTATGTAGTTTTTTAATAAAATTGTTTCTGCCCCTCATTCAGGGCATAAATTCCCACAAGGAGAATTTTTATTTTATTCAAAATTACTTCCACTATTAAAATTCTACCCTCTTCGTCTTTATAAATTTGCTTTGCCAAAATTTCCTGTTTAATATATGCTACAACTCCTCCTTTCTTGTGTTGTGAAACTGCTGCAGACATGTTTCCCAATTTAGGGCAGTTTAATAAATATTGATATTGTTTTTTTATATGAACTTCTTGTAGCATAATTATATCTAAGTTCATCTTATTAAGTTTATTTAAAAAAAATTTCCTTTTTATTGGAGAGTTGAGACCATTAACATTGATGGATATGGATTCAACACCTTTTTTCCCCTTCTCATCTATATTTGGATCTGGTTACTATTGTCGGCCTAGACTCTTGAGTTTGTAAATCCTTTTCTCTTTCCACTAACAATCTTGTCGGTCTAGCCTCTTTAGTTTCTTTAGGTGTATTCTCATCATGTTTCCCTTCATTCTTCCCATTGTCAATATCCTCTCTAATCTCAACTCGCTTACCTTTAGATTCAGTGGCCTGGGCTAGTGTCTCTCGTTCCTCTCTTACCTCTCTTTCAACTAGGTCTTCCTCACTGCTAAAGTTTTTTCTATAAAATTCCTCTGCTTTATCTACTGAGTCTAAAGTCTCTCACTCTTTTAGGTACTTGTTTAAGTACAATCAGTTGTTTACCTCGGTACTCCAATGAGTCATCTCTGACCCTGAATAGTATTTCATTTCTGATTGATTTCTTAATAAATCTAACTTGTACTTCTCTGGGAAGATTGTGCCGTCTTGCATAGTTCGTAGGGATTCTGTAAGTCTCGTCTATCTCGCTGTCCATCTCTTCTCTGCTGGATCCCAGAGCCCCTGTCATTATTACTGGAAGGTCTTCACCTTTCATCTCACATACATTTTGGAATATTAACTAATGAGTGGCCTTCTCAAGTTCCAGGGAAATAACTGTAGATTCTAATTCTTTGTTAGCCTGAA